CGCGCAGTGCGCATGCGCGGCGCCGGGAAACGCGCGGCCCCAGAGTGCCCCCTTGCGGCCCGGAGGTGTCACACGGACCCCCCCCGGCTCCTCCCCCCGCCAAAGCCGCGAACCGCGCACGGAGACGGAAATAAAAACCAGGACAAACGCCACAATTTTAAACGGCTGCATTTTCGTAGTCCCGACGAGCCCGTGGCAACGTCTACCCTGCCTTGTCCTGCCCGCAGCCCGGCAGGCATCATGTCAGCTCGGTGGGGGTCCCGGGGGTGTCAGAGCCCCCCAGGACAAGGAGCACCAGCGCCGTAAGGAGCTCTGGAGATTCCCAGACCCACCCGATGCCAGAGCTTAGTGTTTGCGTGATGGATATCCCTGTCCCTGTCCCCGCCAGAGGGGTTTCCAGCCACTGGGGTGGAGGTCACACCACCAGCCCACTGTCCCCCACATTGGTGGGGAACTCCCCATTTGCTTCCCAGGTCTGCTCAGAGTGTCTCAGTGTGATGGGTCCATCGGGACGTGGCTGCATCCAGACCTGGAGGTGACAGCTCTGTGACATCCGTGGGGATGCATCAGCCTGCTCCCAGCACTACTCCATCCCACTCGTGGAGCTCCGACACAGCTCCTGAAGGTCTGCAGAGCAGATGAGCCCCATTAGCAACCAATTAACCTAAAAATCAACTCTTTAAATAAATTTACAGGATCTGGTGCCTTCCCATGGTCCTTATCCCAAGAGAGTGACATCTGACCAGCATCCCAGAGGATACTCACAGCGCAGGACAGAGTCCCTGATCTGCCTGAAGCTGCTCTCCTTCAGCGCCATGGAGATGTAGTAGATGTTCCGCAGCTCCTTGGGGTACTCCCTGCGATCCACGCCCCTCAGCACCGGGATGGTACGCCCGTCGGCCACGGGGGCCTCAGCCAGCGCCTGGTGCATCTGGAACTGGCACCAGGGGTCCCTGAGGAAGGCGGGGGTGATGAGCAGCACCCAGCAGTGGCTGCCCCGCACGGCGTCGCACAGCTCCGCGCCCAGCGCGCCGCCCGCCGCCGCGTCCCGCAGCTGCAGGAAGCAGCGCAGGCTCTCAGGCTGCCCCTCCAGGTAGGACACCAGCTCCTCCACCAGCTCCAGGTCCCCCTCGCTGTGGCACACGCACACGTCGTAGCTCTTGCCCCAGCGGGGGCTGTCCGAGGCGCTGATGTCCGGCGCTGGCACGGGCGACAGCGGGATGGAGCTGGTCGAGCAGCTGGAGCTCTTGGCAGAGGAGGAGGAGGAGGAAGAAGGTGAGGATGAAGAGGAGTGGCTGGAGTTGAGGCTGCTCTCCACCGAACTGGGCTTGGGCTTGTGCAGGAGCCGCCTAAACCAGCCTGTGGAGTGAGGCTGCAGTGAGGTCTGGGGGGCTCAGCACCCCCCGGGCTTCCCAAGCACAGCAGGGCCAAGTCAGCAGGATGGGAAGGGCTGGGCAGGATCTCACCCTGACCCCCCAAAACCACCCTGGTCCCAAAACCTGGGCTGCCACTGACACCTGGATGCTGTCACATCATGGAGGGGATGGAAGCAGAGGGTTCATGCGCACACTCACCAGCCATAGCAGGCAGCACGCTGCTCAGCTGCCGATGGCCAATGGGAAACCTCTGCTGGGAGCAGAAAAGAGGGATAAAAAACAGAGATGAGGAGAGCAGGAATGGTTCTGGGGTGGGTCTCAGCCCCAGTGGCTCAGCAGCATCTGTTCCAGGGATGTAGAGCTCCGAGATGTTCTCAAGCAGCCCCAAAACCACCCCCATCAGGGTTTTCCACATCTGCCTTGCCAGAATTTGCAGTGAAGGAGCGTTTGCCTGTGCTGGATACACACCTGCAGCGAGCAAGGCCGAGAGCTGACAGGCAGGAGAGACCCTCATTCCCAGCAGCAGGGAAAGGATCCTGTGGAAGGGAAAAGGATCAGCAGGGATCACCAGGGATGGACTGGCTGCTGGCAAACCAGAGACAGCACAGGTAATGCCCAGAGCTGGGCATCCTTGGTGCCATCTGCCATTCCTGCCTGTTCCCAGCCAGCTCCTGCCATCCCATACCCTGCTCCTGAGGGCACCCAGGAGCAGCAACATGGGAAACAGCTGCTGTTTCCCACTGCTGGCATCACCCCTCCCAAAACTGTACACCCCAAGTCACACTAAAGCCTTTCCCCTACTCCAAAAACAGCGCAGGACCCCGGCACACCCATGGAAACCACAGTGCCCCAGTGTGTCTGGAACAATGAGCAGGGACAGTGGGAGATACCCACCTGGAATGCAGGGCTCTGGCACCACAGCAGGGAAGGGGGATGCATCAGCCCCTGTGTTCGTCAAGGAAAGAGACCTGGGATTACCTAGGTGGGAAAAGAGGGACAGATTGCAGTGTGTTCACTCTGGAGTCCCACAGGATCCACGGTGAATGGCAAGGCTGATGCATCCTTACAGCTTCCACATCCGGGAGTGCTTCCCAATGAAAGTGCCCCTACGTGGAAGGGAGGACAGGGGCAGACACCAGCTTCCAGGGACAGAGTGCAGGAGCTGCCCCGTCCCTCCCGTGCCCGCTCCCCGCAGTGCCCCCGACCAGCAGCAGCCCCAGCCTCGGCCGGGACACATGAAAGCAGATGGGGGAAGCGAGCCGGGAGCGCGGGGAGGGGAAGCCGGGCCTCCCCGGGTCCTCCCTCCCACATCCGCCGCTGCCATCACTGCCTGGGCGTCGCCGTGCCCAGCCCTCCCCGGCAGCCGCCCACTGCCTGCTTCCGAAACTAAGCACAGACAGGTTCATCTCTGCCACTCTCGCTTGTTTTAAAGAGTTAAATTTAGCCGACAAGGCATTCCCCACCCCACCCCAAAATCCCCCCTGCCTCTCTCCCTTTCCAGGTCACATCTGCCCATTGCTGCTGGTGGCAGCCACTGCCTTCATCCCCTCATCACCCTCACCCCCTCCAGTGCCTGGTGATTTCTCCATGCCCTGTGGGAGACGGGTTCCAGGTGAGTCCTGGTGCCAGCCCCCAGGGATTTAGGGGGGTCTCAAGGGGCTGCACGCCCACCCAGCTTCCTGCCAGGATGTTCCTGGCATGGGGCTGCCCAGATGTGTTCCATGCTGGGGGACAGTGTGGGGACCTCTGAGGTGGACACTAAACCCTCCCCCACCGTGTCTGAGCTGGTGGCTGGGGGTGATCCAGGAGGTGTCCCATGCCTCCTATGACACCGGGAGGTGGGTGACTGGAGGTGCAGCCCTGGTGCTGAGCCTCTCCCACCTCACCCTGAAAGACAGCAGAGCCCCCTTGACCTACAAGTGCCTGCAGAGGCTCCTGGCATCCCTGGGAGCCCTGGGGAAGGCAGCCCTGGCACTCACACAGGAGCATCTCCAAGGGGAGGAGCTGAGCATGGAGATGGGTCAGCATCTCCCACTGTTCACCTGGAGCAGCGACTGGGATGACAACCCCCCACACCTCCGTGCCTGGGGAAGCAAGTATTTCCCTCAGGGATAAGCCCCAAGTTCTCCGACCTCCCCGAGGTCACCGCTCGTCCCCTGGTGACCCATTTCCCATTAATCCCTGCCCCGGCACTGCTGCCACCGCCCCGAAAACCAACTCCCTGCCCGAGGACACGGCCCAGAGTCACCTGCCCGTGTGAGTCACCTCACCTGGAGACCCCCCCGAGCCGCCCCAGGGGGGGAACCTGAATGAGGGGGAACCCGCGGGTCCCGAGGGGCAGCACCTCCACCCGCACCAGCGATAACGGGACCAGTCCTAAAAGAATCCATTCATAGCAGTTAAGCAGGCACGGTTCGATTCACAGCGTGCCCGGGCACACCAGCACCTGTCTGAAATCCCTGCAGCACCAATTTCAGGTCGGTCAACGCGGGGAGCCCGCCTGTGGAACTGGGAACTGGTGAGGACAGGGTGCTGCAAGGCAGGGTCAAACACAGGTGTTCGGGTGAGAAAATAAAGACGATTTCCTCCCTAAACACATGATCAACGTGCTTTCACTTATGCCGCCAATAAAAAGCGATGCGCAGCTACCCAGAAGCCAAAGAATAGCTTTCCTCCCTGGAGAGCTGCAAATACACCCAAATCCCGACACACAGATGCCTGAAAGCATCGCAGTGGCCGCTCCGGGCCGGGCTCCACTTGTACCTCGCAGGGCTGGAGACGCTGTCGCACAGACACGAAGGCAGGTGGCGGCAGGGGTACCAGGACACTGCCAGGCCCACAGCAGCTGTCCCGGGCAGAGCGGTGTGAGCGGCGATGTCAGACCCGGTCCCTCACACCGCCACCCGTCCGCCGCCACCTCACAGCTGTCCCGGGCAGAGCGCCGAGTGACGCTGCCAGACCCGCTCCCCGTCACCTCACAGCCCGTGACTGCAGCACGCATGCGCACAGCGCCTTTTATAGATTCGCGAAGCCTCGCGAGAGTTTCCCGCGCCGGCTCCCGGGCGCCGTGGGGAGGGCGGGGCGAGAGAGGGGCGGACCAATCCCCGCGGGGCGGAGGGGCGTGGCCGGGCGCGAGGCGGCTGCGCGCGGCGCGGCGGCGTCTCCTCCATGGGCCGCGCGCGCGGCGCCAGGTGCGTGCTGGGCGCGCGGCGGGGGCGGTTGCCATGGGGACGGGGCGGTTGCCATGGCGACAGCGGCCACCATGATACCTGGGGAGGGGTCGGGTCCCGGCCGTGAGGGGACGGAGCGGCCCCGGGGCGCGGAGGAGCCCGAGGGGGCCGGGGATGAGCCCGGGGGACCTTTGACGGTGCTGGGGGCGCTGCGGCCCGGCTGTGCCCACCATCCCGCTCCGCGCCCTCGCTCTCTGTAAAAAATCCGTTTTCATGGATTTTACCCCCCGGGAAGGAGCCTCGGCCTCCTCCCCGCCCGCTGAGTGCCCGCGTTGTTGCTTTTCCCGCAGGTTTAGCGAGGAGGGGGCGCGGCGGAGAGGACAGGTAAGGCCTCGGGCATCCCTGGGGGTGCGAACCCCTCCCCGCTTCCCTTCCCGGAGTCCCTCCTGGAAGCTCCCGTGGGAGCTCTAGGATACAGAGCTCTGCCGGGCTTTGCTGTGTCACCCTCTCTCCTTGCTCATGGAAGCACGTGGAGGATCGAGGCGTTGAATGAAAACCTCTGGTGTGTTTTAACTCGCACCCGAGGGGGCTGAACCTGGAGTTCCTGGGGCGTGGCGGGAGCAGGGCTTGTCCTGCTCGGTCCCACTGTCCCTGCACCCCACTGTCCCCTCCTAGGGTGGTTCTGATCCACCTCCAACTGCAGATCCCACGTGGAGGGACAGAGCTTGGGAACTGGCCAGGGCCAGCTCAACTCCAGGCTGACACATGTGTGGTCTAAACCATCTTATCCCAAAGCCACTGGGTTGAGGAAGGAGCTCTGAATGACACCCTGGCTGGCGGTGGTTCTGCTCAGCACTCAAAGAAGCTAAAAATAATGCATGAGCAGTGGATCTGTACTTGTTTCCCTATGGAATTGGCAGAGGCTGCTCTGCAGGAGCCCATTTTCCACCTCAGAGCTGGATCACTTGGCTTCAGCTTCAACACCCAGGTGTAGCTTCTCTTTTGTTGGGTGCTGAGCTTGGAGGTGGCTTGGGCAGTGACTTCCCCATGAGGTGGTGGGGAAAACTTGCCATTAACTCCCCTTTTCGGTCCTGCAGGTTGAGTGCTGTGGTCGTGCTTTGCCCAGGTGCAGTGAGGTTTTTGTAAATAAACACCCTGTGTGTGCCTCAGCCTTGGTTTGACGCGCTGTGTTCAGGTGTTTGCTTTGACCTCGGATGTGTCTGTTAGACAGGGAATGGCTGTGCTTGGGTTCACCCAGTGCTGGTGCCTTGGCCGTGGTTTAAAGCTGCCGGTTCCTCGCTGGAAGGCTTTAGGATAAAGTGAGGGGTTTGTGTGGTGTGGAGGGGGAATGAGAACCCTTTAGTGTCTCTGGTGAAGGTGATGGAGACCAGGCTGGCACAGGGGCAGCTGAGCCAGGAATCCATGGAGTGTGATCTCTCCAGACCCTGCAATTCCCTGTAGTCCAAATATCTGGAAGGTTCCCAACATCTTGCTAGGGCTGGAGAGACACTTACCTTCTAAGTGCCCGTGGCTCCCTCTCCTCCATGGCACCTGTGTTCCCAGGGGGATCCTGTGGTTCCTGGGGTGTTTTTTCTCCGTGGCAGTGTACTCTGAGGTAATTCCATTTAATTTATACTACCTCAGGTGTGCTGGCATGATCCATCCCCCTGGGGAGCAGAGCTTCTCCCCAGGCCTGAAACCTGGAGGTTTCTGTTTCTTGGCTAAACCTTTTTGGCTTGTTTTTAAGAGAAATAAGAACGTTTTTGGTTAGTAAGAGAAATAAGAACTTTTTAAACTCTGTATGTGTAATGGGTTTTTTGTTCCTTTTTGGCTCTCTGCACTAAATAGAAATGAAGGTTGAAGGTTGTTATATCAGACAACCATTTCTTGGTGATTATAATTCTAAAAGGTGTTTTTCCCTAAATTCAAAATGACTTTTGAAGTGTCCTTATTGCTTTAGAGGCACTTAAAAACTGATTGGATGGCTCCACTCCTGCTGTTGATGGCCTGGGAATGTGTGGGGGGAGCGAGATGGGAGCGGTGTGCTGAGGCAGGAGGAAGCAAACAGGGGAAGGCCACTGTACAAACCTTGATATTTGAGTCTTAGCTGATAATTCACAACCCAAAGATAATATGAATTTGAATTATATCCAGTTTAGAATGTGTTCAGGGGTGTTTAAGGAGCCACATGGTGAAAAACAGCTCTCTGAGGTGTTTTACTGATTTATTATTGAGCAAGTGGCCTAGTGGAAGGTGTCCTCCATGGCATGGGGGTGGAACCAGATGGGCTTTAAGGTTCTGTCCATCCCAAAACAGTTGCTGATTCCACTGTACAGTTTTCCAGGGGGGTCAGGAAGGAAAGGCTGCACACAGGCAGTGTCTGAGCATCTGTTAGAGTCTCTGTGCCCTGTTCTCATCATCCAGCATTGAAAGCTTGTGGTTTCCTGGATTAATTGGGATGATTTCTCACGGGATCTGTGCCAAACCTTGCAGCACAGCCGAGGTGTCCTACCTGCCAGGAGCTGCCCTGTGTCACCTGCTCTGCTGCCAGGGAGCAATTGCAGCACCTTGTTTGTGGGACAAACCCTCAAAGCTCCCCAAGGCTGCCAAACCCTGTGATTTTGGGGTCAGCAGCTCTCCTTCAGCGTTCCCTCTGGGCAAAAGCCTCGTGTCTCACAGAGTTTGTGCTGGACTCTTCATTACAATTGGCAAGAAAAAAAGCAGGGGAGGGTGAACAGTTCTGCCCACTTTCATTTCCTTTCCGTAGACTTATTTGGGAGAAGCAGCTTGGGAGAGGACTGTGTGCTGGCAGCCCTTTTGTGTCTTGTGTCACAAGGCTGCTGAAAGAGCTCTCAGGCTCCACTTCCTCTCCGTGGCTTCGGGGCTGTTTCCCAGCGCCTGCAGACACACGGTGGGCTGGGAAAGCCTTCCCTCATCACCAGGGAATGAAACGCTCTCCGTGGCTTTTCGGAGCCAACAGAAATCTTTTTGTCTTTTCTGCCCTCCCACTGTTTCCCAAGCGGCGAGTTTGCTGACAGGCCTCGCTGGGAAAGAGGGGGAGTGCTGCTCCAAGGTCCGGGCTCTCCAGTGAAACGCGGCAGTGCCGGGACAGATCCCACCTGTGTGTGCAAAACAGCCCTGTGATGTTATGGTAAAGGAGGGGAAGGAAGTGGATGAGACAGTGGGGCAAAGTCCAGAGACAGAAAGGTGCAATCCTCAGCCCAAAGGTGATCTGAGAACGATAACGAACCCGGGATTTATCCACCTGTGCAAAGCTGGCTCCGCAGAATCCTGCTGTCCAGGTGGTGTCGTGGATGTGTGGTGACTTTGCCTGTGGTGATTTGTCTGCCATAGAAACTGGATGGCTTCTACGGTGAGCCTGAGCAAGGAAACGTTGTTGGAAGATGGAATGCCACCTGCAAAGAAGCCCAGGTAAATTTAATTATGCTCCAGTGAATTTCTCCCAACAAGAGCTTTTTCCTTTGCCTCGCTTTGTTCTTTAAGGATTGTGACCCCTGGCGCCCGCGGCCGTTTCGCTTTCTGATCCAAGAACCACGTGCTGGCTCTGCCTGTGCCCTGGGCCTCCTGTGGAACAAAGGCCTTCGTGCCCACGATGTTCTTTCTTGGGAGTTTAACCCTCAGCCAGGGTGTGAGGTTGCACTCAAAGCTGTGTTTGACTGTCCTGTCTGCACGCGAGGTCAGGTCAGACACGGTGGTTGCGCTCCTTCACTTGAGCTGGTTGGTGGTTCCCAGGGAGTTACATAAATTACTGGGATTGAGCTGCATGTAAAGGCTGAATAATTCTGCTCTGGAGGCTCCCTGTGCTAAGAAATAGGTCGTGTTACAGTTCTGTGCGTGGGGACCTGAGTGGGGCACACCCACACTCCTGTCCAAGGCTGGGACTGGGGCTGCTGCGAGCTCAGAAATTCAGGCATGAACTTGTGAACAAGCAGCTAATTCATCTGGGGAGTTGTCTCCCACTAATCTGACTTATTTATGAGCTCTGGAGGGCTGCAGGATAGTTCCTGTGTGGTCTCAAGGTTGCTCTGTGACCATGGAAAGAGCAGAAAAGAGGCCAGATTATTTTTCCCTTGCTCAGGATATCAGGGCAGAAACAAGTGTATTTGTCAGCAGGGAGTGGAATGCCTCTTTCAGAGATGTCATACAGGACATTAAGACTTGCCAATTTGTTATTATTTTGGATTTCAGTCCCAATAGTGTTTTTGTAGTAGCTCATTAGCGTGAATACTGATTTATTCTGTGTATGTGAGGCTTGCAGTCCCCAGATGAAACCCTGTTTATCAGCACTGACAGTAGGGCCCTCCTCGATGAAAGGGTTAACGTGTCTGTTTTCATAGGCAGGAGCTGAGGGAAAGCAAAGCTCCATCTGTGTGGTGTCGGTTTCCTCTCCCCTTCTCACTCAGTATCACGTGTTTGCTGATAAAACCCATTCCTTCCAAGCGAGCTGCTCCCCTGGGCTGCTGCTCTGATCCTCTGGGAAGCTGCAGCTGGACATGGGGCAAGGCAAAGGCAGGAGCAGCACATCTGCTCCATACATGATCATACCACTTCTAAAGCACTGTGCAGGTGTAAAGCCAGGAAAACAGGGAAGATGGGAGGAGGAGGAAGGAGAATACAGCCCTGCAGCTCTTTCATGTGACTCTGTATCCATCTGGGCTTCCAAAAGATTGGCCTGGAGCATCCTGCTGACACTGCAGGTGTCACAGAGAAGGGGTTGCTGGTGCAGTTGAGGGGACTCAGCAAACAGGCTGGGAGGTGGGAAGGTCCCCTCCAGGGCAGAGCTGGGAGGAAGCCTTCCCTTCCTTCCTTCCTTCCTTCTGTGCTGGGATAGATGGAGCTGCTGTGTCCAGGCCCGTGTTCTGCACCTTGTTTGAACCAGGTGGTGGTCCCTCCCTATGTGGGTCCCATCCCCGCTTTGTCCCAGGATGTAGGATGTGTGTGTCTCATTCCTTAGTGCTCACCACACCTTTCCCAGGGCCTGCAGCCTCCCCTTAAGCTTCCAGGTAACTTGTATTAACAAGACTCCCCTTATTCCAAATTCTCATTGGGTTAACTTTGCTTCAGAAGCATTCCAGGGCATCACTGACTTCCCCAGTAACCATCCCGGGAACAGACTGGATTCCCAAGTCTGTTGTAACTGCATACCTCGTGCTGTGAGCATCTGTGCTGCTGATCCACGAGCTGCATGCTGTCTTTTAGGGATACTGAGCTGCTCCTCTCATCCTTTGTTTATCAGAGGCCCTAATGGACGTGTTGACTCCAAATTCAGGCAGGGGGTACCTCCTTCACCCTCGGTTCATGTGTCCCACCGCCCCAGACACTCCTCCATCCATGGTGGTACCAGCTGTGCTCCCTTCTCCTCTTGCAGGAAGCTGTTGCCAAGCCTCAAAACCAAGAAGCCTCGTGAACTCGTTCTGGTGATTGGGACAGGAATTAGTGCTGCAGTTGCTCCCCAGGTCCCAGCACTGAAGTCTTGGAAGGGGCTGATCCAGGCCCTCCTGGATGCTGCTATTGACTTTGATCTCCTGGAAGATGAAGAGAGCAAACGGTTCCAGAAGTGTCTTCATGAAGACAAGAACTTGGTTCATGTTGCCCATGACCTTATCCAGAAGCTGTCTCCGGTCAGTGTGCTGCAGCACTGCACAAATGTCCCTTGAGTGTAGCATTTGGCTCTTGGAAATAGCCAGATTTGGTTCTCCAGCAATGGAGCCCCCATCCCCAACAATTCCTCTATGTACGAGGAAGTTGCTGTGCCAGGTTCCTGAGGCACAACTCTGCTTTGGACACAGATTTGGGGTATTTCCCAAGATGATCAGGGGATGGAGCCCGTCTGCTGTGAGGAAAGGCTGAGAGAATTGAAATTGTTCAGCCTGGAGAAGAGAAGGCTTGGGGGTGACCTAATTGTGGCCTCGCAGTGCCTGAAGGAGCGACAGGAAAGATGGAGAGGGCCTGGTGTGACAGGACAAGGGGAATGGCTTCCCACTGCCAGAGGGCAGGGTTAGATGGGATATTTGGAAGGAATTCTTGGCTGTGACAGTGGGGAGGCCCTGGCACAGGTTGCCCAGTGAAGCTGTGGTTGCCCCATCCCTGGAAGTGTCCAAGGCCAGGTTGGACAGGGCTTGGAGCCCTTCCCTGGGCTGGTGGAAGGTGTCTCTGCCCACAGCAGGGGTGGGATGAGATGAGTTTTAAGGCCCCTTCCAGCCCAAACCATTCTGGGATTCTGTGATTGTGCTGGGGGGCAGAACCCACCTTGGTGCAGCCAGAGCTCTGTGTTTGCCCTGCAAGGACCCAGAGCTGTGCAGGGTCTTGGAGAAACGTGGGTGGTTTTTCTCGGGGTGTTCAGCACGAGGCGTTCAGGGCTCTGATCTCGGTCTGTCTCCCCTTCCCAGCGCACAAGCAACGTTCGCTCAACCTTTTTCAAGGACTGTTTATACGAGGTGTTTGATGACCTGGAATCTAAAATGGAAGATTCTGGGAAGCAGCTGCTTCAGTCTGTGCTTCACTTGATGGAAAATGGGGCCCTTGTGTTAACCACGAACTTCGATAACCTGCTGGAGCTGTACGCAGCACACCAGGGGAAGCACCTCGAGTCTCTTGATCTGACTGATGAAAAGAAGGTAAGGGATGAGGGTTTCTTTTGTCAGGGCTATGCTTGGGATGATGCAGGATGTGCCCTCACACTGCCTGAGGGGGAATTGTACTGACAGCAGTGGTTTAACTGGTGTCAGACAAGCTCCAGGCAGAGGCAGCTGAGCAGAGGAATGGGGAGGAACGCTCCTTTCTGGAAGGCTGTGCTTTGCTTGCTGGCTGCCATCCAGTCCTCAGGAGGAGCCCTTCAGCCTGGTATTTCTTTGATCTCTGTCCTTGAAACTTCTGGCTTGGTCTTGCTTCCACATAAGGCTGGGTTTGATGTTCCTAACTGATAGGGGAAACTCCATTGGAGACACAAAGCTGAGCTTTCTATTTTTGTCATGGGCTGCAAAGTGCTTTTGGTGACAGAGCATGTTTGGGGCTGCAGCCTTCAGGGCTCTCTCTTGCCCTGTGCCTTCTTTCTGCAATGGCTGAATGGCTCGTGCTCCAGCTCCTTCTGCCATGCTCTCAGAGCCATAGGTGCTGACTTCACACAAACTTCCCTTCCTCCTGCCCCAGTCAGGCTGTGAAATCCTGAGCCACCTGCCCACTTCAACTTTTTGTCGTGGGTTTGAATGGTGGGGAACATCTTGTCCTTCTGTTGGCATGTTAAACACACCCCAGGTGTGTGTGCTGTGCAGCCCTTGATCTCTTTCCATTCTGACTCATTTCTGTGCTTCACATTTCCTGCATGACCTCTTAATCTACATGGCTGGAAGTACTTACAGTGTTACAAATAAGCATTCTAATTACTGCAAGCTTAAATGAGCTGAGGTCTGCAGGAGTAAACCGAGAGCCTGGGAAGTGGCTGTCTGAAATGGAGGTCAGCTGGTGAGCTCCCTCAGAGCCCAGGGGCCAAGAATAAAACTTTGTAGGCTTGAGGAACACACTGACTTAGGATTTATAGGTGGGGTTTTTTCCCCTTTTTTCTGCTGGAAGTGGTGTATTGATTTCTTGTTTTGCACTGTGTCATGCAGGTGCTGGAGTGGGCGCAGGAGAAGAGGAAGCTCAGTGTCCTGCACATCCACGGTGTCTACACCAACCCCAGCGGCATCGTCCTGCACCCCGCCGGCTACCAGAACGTGCTGCGCAACACCGAGGTCATGGTGAGGCCACAGGGGGTCCTGGGCCTTGGGTCACCCAGACACATGCTCAACTGAGTTAGGATTGGTGGTGGAGGGAGAATTAATTCATTTGGGGAAATAAGAGGGTTGGATCCTCTAGTCTGCCAAGGTGCCAAAACACTTCCCCACGCCTGTGTTGAGGGTGACTTAACGAGGGCAATGCTGCAGAGCCTCGTCAGGGATAAGGCAGGTGCTGTTTCTTGTGAGGATGAAGCTCACCTTGACCAAGAACATCTTTCCCTTTCTTAAAGCGAGAGATTCAGAAGCTCTATGAAAATAAGTCCTTCCTCTTCTTGGGCTGTGGTTGGACTGTTGATGACACCACGTTTCAGGCCCTGTTTTTAGAGGCTGTCAAGCACAAGTCAGACCTGGAGCACTTCATGCTGGTGCGGAGGGGGGATGTGGATGAGTTCAAGAAGCTCCGTGAGAACATGCTGGACAAGGGGATCAAGGTGATTTCCTACGGGGACGAGTACACCGACCTGCCCGAGTACTTCGAGCGGCTGACGAGCGAGATCGCCATGCGGGGCCGCACAGGTACGGGGGCATGGGCTGAGGGGATGCCTCTTCACAGTGTTCATTATGAAGTCCGTGTATTCCAGCAGTTTGAACAGCTGTGCTGCTTCCCACGCCTGCAAACTTTGCTCTTTGTGTGCAGCTGTTCCTTTTCTGCTTGAAGGGTCATTTCAGTCTGGCTGACCTTCACCCTGCTCAGCCCGAGCCAGTGCTTTAATGTACATACAGAAATCTTAAAAATGGGGGAAAGTGGGTTTGCTGGCCAGAGCCTTGCTGGCAGCTGTTAGAGGGTTAAACCACCCTGTGGGCAGCTGGTTCCCACAGGGGCTCCCCAGGGTCACCTCCAGCTGCCCCTGCTCTCCCCCAGGTGTGCCCAAGGAGGGGCAGCAGCTGAACGGCTCCACCGCTGCCCACGCCGACAGAAAAGGTAAGGAAGGTTCTCCCGAGCCAAGGCTTTGCCCTGTGTGACTCCCTGCAGTCCTGGGCAGGTTTTCAGCCTTTGCTTCCCCACAGGATGCAGCACCTGAGCCTCAGCCCTGCCCTGAGCCGTGGGGGACTCCCAGGATGGGCCCAAGCCAGGCCAGCAGCCCCAGGGGGGCTGGAGCCCACGGAGCCAGGACCCTTCCAGCAGGGAAGAGGCTGGGCAGAGCCTCCTTGGACAGACACCTGGTTTAACATAGCTCATCGTGGTTCTGTGGGGGCTGTGAGTGCCTGCGGAGTGCAGTGCCCCCGAGGGAGCTGCAGCCTCCTCTAATTTCATACCTAGTGCTTTTATATTCTGTATTTCAATTTTAAAAAAAAATGAAACTTGAGCTTTTTTTTTTTTTTTACTGGAAGCTCTAGTTTTCTAGTCCTGTCTTTATACTGTACAGTATTTTGTATGTTGAAGTTGCATTAAAGGCCTGCTCACTGAACTTTGGCTGGTGTGTCATTGACAGGCCCCCTCACACTGGTGGGAGTTCTTCTGACCCCAACCCAGGAGGAAACAGTTCCTGGCTGGAGGCAAGTTATTTATACACAGAGAACAAATTATGGAGTTTATTTTATATAAATTATGTCTCTTAGCAGACAGCATTCAATTTATTGCACTAGAGCACATCTGCAATACAGAGCTACAAGACATTGTCAGAGAGTTTTGTATTATTCAGTGTAGCACTTCCAACCGGGATCAAGAGGCACTCAGAGGGGGGAGAAAGGGTGCAGGAAAGCAGCAAGCAGCCACCATTCTCTTCCAGTATTCATGTGGTTTGGTTTATTTCCTTTTTACTAGCAGGTACCGCTGAGGCCAGCAGGCAGGAGCCAGAACTGCTGCCTTCCCCCTCCACACCCGGCTGCCACAGCTCTCCAGCTCCTGCTCAAATATGTGATGTCTGGGGACCCTGGAGTCCTGGTGAGGGCAGAAATGGAGGACCTTAAGGCAGTTTAGCATTTCCCCTCCAGCCCAGCACAGGCTGTTGCCTTTTTGTTTTTTGGTTTATCAGCTTCAGTGGAGCTGCCGGGAGCAGCGACATTAACAGCCAGGTCTAACGCTGCCCCTAAGCCAAAGTCCCTCCTGCCTCCTCCCTAAGCTGGCCTAAAAATCAAAAGCAGCTCAAAAAATGCCTTGAAACCCCCCAAAAAGCACAGCAGGCCCCGGCACTGCCCACCCCCCGTGCAGCATGAACAATACAAAGCTCTGGATTCGGCCTCCCCACCAGGGAGCCTGCATCACTGGGACAGAATGGAGGAACCCAGGGCAGGGCTTTTGCTGGATAAAAGGGGCTTTATCCAAGAAAAGTAACCCCCGTGCTGGTATTCCTTCATTCTGTTCTGCACTACACGGGAAGGACTAGTCGGTGACGGGGTAAAGCATGTTCTTCTGGGACGTCTGCACACAGCGGTTTGGTGGCTCAGGCCTTCATGAGCGCGGCGACCACGGCCTTGGCGTTAAGGCTGCGCAGATCACAGTAGGTCTGTCCGGTACCAACGAACACGATGGGCTTGCTCGTGATGTAAGTCATGGAGATGGCGGCACCAACCTGCCGGGGACAAGCGTGCAGCGCCTGAAACACGGCACTTCCCCCTCGGGAACCCGTCAGGGAGCTCAGCAAACACTCATCCCCCACATGTGGAAACCACGCTGCTAAATTTGGGTCAAACACGAGAGAGAAGCGCAGGAGCATCCTGTGTTCGACAATTCCCGCCTCTCCCCTGCAGGCACTATCAGAGGGTCTGTGCAGAGCCGCCTCAGCAGCTCCTTACCTTGTCATCTATGGTGTCAAACTTGGTGAGGACGATCCCATCGATGAGCCGCGGCGTCTGGGCCATGGAGTGATCAGCCAGAGCCTTGTTGAACTTGACCTGAGGGAAGAGGAACATCCAAGACACGCAGTTGCGGTGCTACCACTGTAAAACCTACACAACCAGGTTTTTTCTCCACCTCTCAGGAACAAAACCCTCCACATGACTCACCAGCTGATCCACAGCCTCGTTCCCCACCAGCGCCTCCCCGACGAACAGGACCAGGTCGGGCGCATTGACGGCGATGAGCTTGGCCAGCGCGGTCATGAGGGGCGCGTTGTCCTGCATGCGGCCGGCTGTGTCCACCAGCACCACGTCGAAGCCCTGGTTCCGCGCTGAGGGGACAGGGAAGGGCCGTGAAGGATGGGGGGGCGGCGAGAGAGGCGGCGGCTCCCCCGGCACCGCACCTACCGTAGGAAATGGCCTCCATGGCGATGCCCGCGGCGTCCTTGCCATAGCCCTTCTCGTAGAGCTGCACCATGGTGCGCCCGCCGTGGCTCTCCGGGGGGTGCAGCGCGTTGAGGCGCCGGGTGTGGGTGCGCAGCTGCTCCACCGCACCCGCGCGGAAGGTGTCACAGGCGGCGATGAGCACGCTGAAGCCATTCTCGATGAGCCAGAACGAGATCTGCGGGTGGCAGCACGTCAGATGCGTTGGCAGCCGCAGCCTGACCCCGTCACGCCGCTCCCGGGATCCAGGAGGGTCCTGCCCTACCTTGGCCAGGTTGGTGGACTTCCCGACACCGTTGACACCGCAAAAGGTGACGACATAGGGCCGGCGGTGGCGCTGGGCGTCCATGACGTCGCGCAGCACATCCACGCGGCGCTGGGGCTGCAGGATCTGCACCAGGGCCTCCTGCAGTGCCTGCTTCACCGTTGAGGTCACCGCTGGGGAGGGGCAGGGGGATGGAAAGAGGACCACTCATGCCTGGGGAAAGCTCCTGAGCTCCAGATCACACACAGGAGGCCACACAAACACTTACTGGTGAACGTTCCCATCACCTTCCCTTCCAACTTCTTGGCCACGGACTCGCAGAGCTGCACAGCAATCTCGGCTGCCACGTTTTTAGCTTTGAGAGAGAGAGTGGGGAGTCAGCGCTGCCGAGGTTACACATGCCAGACATTGGTATCAACGGAAGCATGGAGCTCAGGATCCCCTCCGGACCTGACCACTGCCCCACTTCTGCTGCACTGGCAAGAGGTGCAACAGGAACCCACCACAGTTCCTGTGGGCAGCAACATCCCAAAACATCAGTGTCACCCACACCAAGGCCCTCCCAAAAGAGCACAAGGAACCACCTCACCGCAGATCCAGACGTACCAATCAAGTGATCCTTCATCTTCTCCAGCACGGGGTCCATGTCCTCTCTCGTCAAGCTCTTGGAGCCCACTAGCCCCTTCAGCATGCCAAACATGCCCCCCAGGCCACCCTTCTTCGTGCTGTGGAGAAGCAGAGGAGGTACCTTGAGGTTCGAGAGCAAGTTGCAAGTGGGCAAACACACCATTCAGCGTGTGCAGTTCCTGCGTTACTGGTTAGACTGGAGGAGGCGTCACAGGAGAGAAATCAAGGCCCGTGTGACAAGCAGGGGCTGTGGGAGCCTTACCTGGGTTTCGAAGTGTTCTGGACAACCTTCTCCTCCTCGGCTTCGTCCTCACTCTCATATTCCAGGTCGTACAGGCGGCCGGGCTCCCGATTCTTGTCCCCCAGGGCCTGGGAGGGGAGAAGTGGCTTTAGGGGCTGGGTGCCAAGAGCTCTGTTTGATCCCTTCTCATCCAGCCGTGGAGACCGGGCTGGGTTCACAACGCCCAGCTGAGCCCAGAACAACACGGAGTGCCCCGACTTCCCCTCACCATGTCAGGGTCGAACTCCTCCACAGGACAGGCCTCAGCGCTGCCATTGGTAGCGGAGTTACTGTAATCCAGTACTTTGGCATTAGAGTTCCCCAGATCCCACACCCGGGGCTTCTTCCCCTTCTCCTTCTGTGCATCGGGCTTGGGAGATCTGAGGAGACAAAAGAGCAGGACACGCCTTGTGTTCAGGGCAGGGGAGCAGAGCCATCGCCTCCTCAGAAGGTGTGGAAAATAAAAGCCTGCATTACCCAAAAAGGCAGAAATTAAGGCTAAACCTGGCTGATTTGGTCTGCAGAGTTTATATTTCTGAACTTTAACCCTGTATGGCCCTGGTTCCCCTCAAGCCTGGCATTGATGCATTGCTGCTGTCTGCTCACTCAGGACAGGTCTGACGTCTCCCAGGCACACGCTGGGTTTCTAGGTCTTTCGCAAGCTTTATTTCCCCTTCAGAACCCCCCAGCTGCCCTCTCCCACAGTTTCCAGCAAGGAGAGAAATAAGGAAAAGGAAATAAGGTCCAGGAAAGCGAGGTCTGACTTCCAGGGGTCACCAAAAGGAGAGACTCAGCCATGTTGAAAGCACAGTCTGAGTGACTGTGCTCTCATCACCCACCTGGACTTCTCCCCGGCTTTCATGTGTCTCCTGAAGAATTCCTCCCGGTTCTTCTGCAGGATTTCATCCTTGGTCAGCTCCTCCTTCTCCCCTGCTGCTGGGGGCTGTTTGTCACCCCCGGATGCTTTACTGGGTGCTGCAGCAGCTTCAGTTCCTGATGGGAAGAGCCCCCACATGAGCTTAAACCAGCTCCAAGCGGGCTGGGAAAGCACAGGCTGGAACACAGAGCTCTGGAATATTCTCCGACCCCCCTTCCCCCCATTTATCTTCCCCATCAACTCACCCTCTTTTTTGGAACCTTTGTTCTTCTTGTTCTTGACCTTCTCCTTTGGTTTCTCCCCCCGGGTTTCGATCATACACTTGACAGTCTTCTGGGATTTCAGAGACTGCTCAAACGTCTTCATTACCGTGGGAGCTCGGACTCTGCTGCTCTCCTCTGCATCCCTGCGGGAAGGTGACCCATTAGCCTGGATTCCAGTTCTTTTCCCCCCCTCCCAGCTCTGCTCAAAACAGACATTTAACACAAAAATCAGGGTGTGGTACCGGAGGAGGCGCATGAAGTCATCTTTAAAATCAAAGGTGCCATTTAGGAGGCCCAGGGCCCCTTTCTGCTGGAACTCGTTGCGGTACTTGTCTCTGAACTCCTTGTGGACATCGTCTATCAACTTGTCCACGTAGGTTAGAGTCAGGATCTTCTGGAAGCCCACCTGCCCAGGGACACAGACAACAGACACTGCACTCCCTGCTCACTGAACAGCAGCAAGGGAGCAAAATCCTCCCTGTTTAATTCAGAGTGGGCAAGCTCCAGGCTGCACTTTCTGCTCTGCCTTCCCAAGATTTAAAATGCCCCCAAAAAGGTAAAAACCAGCCCAGGGGCAGCACCAACACACACGGGCTTGTCTCATGGCAACAAAGACACGTGGCACCGGGGCAGAGAACCTTTTGCTTATCTCTAAGTCCACAGGAAAGCTTGTGTGGATTTATGGAGATAAGGAGCGGGCAGACTGAAAGGGAGAGCATTAAATGCTCTGTAAAGACAAGGGGGCGGCACCTTTCCGAGGGTATTTTTAAATAACTTTGGGAAAAGTGAAGTTTCACGAGGCTGTAGGTTCTATTTGAGGTTTGATTAGTTTTAATCCTGTTGCAGATGATTAAAATAAGCTGCTCCCCCAGCGG